ATATATATACTATAGGATATGATCCCAGCTCAATTAGAACTGCAGAAAGGTACAGAGCATGTAGACTAGTATTCCGAACCTATTAGTACTCTAGACCAAGCACTAAAGGCAGGGCTAAAAGTAATTGTCAGTCAAGTCTGCTTGCATACTCCAAGCCAAGGGTTGAGAATTCAATATGACCACATAGGGACCTCTCGTCCTACAATGGGATCTGCACTGAGGGTTCAGTAAATGTGACAATGACTTAAACAGTTGTATAAAGAGAATATAGAAAGTGTCAAAATATTTTCAGGTAACCAGTTTTCCAGGGCTAAGGCCCAGCAAGCAGGATGTGCCCTAATCTTGGCATAATAATAATTTTTTATACTCTGAAATGATCTTACCATCTGCCAAAGTGTATTGCTTAGACCAGGACGAGGTGTGCACTGAGGAATTTAGCTCCCCCTATTTCCCAGGACTATCTAGCACATATTCACAATCCCAGTTTCTTGTCACTGACAGGTATGACACTCCTGTTCCCATCACAGAACTCCAGTTCTGACCACCATAGAGTTATGACCCCCAAGACTTGGGACAATATTCTTCCCACAGGACGCATGGGAACAGTAACTCAAGACCTAAAAATGATGATATTTACATCCCAAGCCTTCATTGTCGAGCCCACTTACATATATAAACATTGTCTATTACCAACGTGTAAGCCTTCCTTAGGTGGAGGAAGGGTGGCTTCCTTGTATGCAAGTTGTTTTCCTCATTCTGAAATAAATTATACCACTACTTTGTGCCCTGTCATACCTGCCTCCAGCCTGCTCTGTTCAGCTGTGATCATTTCCAGGTTAGAGACCAGTCCAGGCTGACCTGCATTCAAAATGCTGTTGCCAAAAGAAACTTTTGACAAAAAGATTTTTACTGTCCAACAATGGCAAGGCTGAAGATGTGAACCAATAGAACAGAACTATTAATACCACAAAGATATATTATTAATTAAGTGAATCCCAAGGTGAAATTCTAGAAGGTAGAATTCCATAATAGTCTCAAGTAAAACCCCATAAAATCTGCATTTAGTCAAGAGACCCCCAAATATGGATGGATGCAATAAAAGAAGAGATGAAGTAAAAGATAAAGAATGAAATTACAGCTCTTGGAACAGAACTTGGAAATAGTTTAGAAGAAAAGGTGGAAAACCTTACTCAAGTTGTGAACACCCTGAATAATAAAATAGAATAATTTATTGAGATAAGAAATATTGAAACAAAAAAAATAATGAAAAATTAAACTTCCTGTCTATCTCTGTACCAGAGACCACCTTCTTACTATGGCAATGCCTCTACCCCTATGGCTTCATTCTCTGAATAATGAGTTCCCTCCTGAGTTTCCATTTATGAAAGCACTCACAACAGTCATCACAATTTCTCCAAGCCTGAGCCAGCTTACGCCACTCCACATGCCACCTCCCTCCCTTTATAGCATAATATAAAAGTATATTAATATGTATGTATACACACACACATACACATACACATACACATATATGCATATATACATATACATACATACATATAACCTTCCCCACTGGAATGTAAGCTTATTAAGAGCAGGGGCTGGAGGGCACAGGGACAAAACCAATTATTAATGAAGTTTTGCTTGTATATATCCCTGTGCTTACCATAGTACCTGACACATAGTAACTCATTATAATGCTCTATCTGTCTATCTATCCATCTATCTATCTATCTAGAGTAGCCATAACATGTTTGTGTGTATTTGGTTTTTTTTTTAAACACAAGCTCCTAAATGGCTATCACAGACATTCAGGGACACGGATTACACATGGCAAAGGCAGTCCACGATAATTGGAAATTTAGGAGAACATTGATTCTAACCACTAACTCTAGGACTCAGTTGTTTTCAATTTGTTCTAGATCTAGGTCCCCACAATTCAGAAGAAATGTGCTCTCCTCAGTGCTCTCACAATCATTTGGGTTTTTTTCATTGCTACGTACTGAAGCAACTTTCATAAAATCCCTTCTGCTGACGCCAGTTTGGCTTCATCGTCCACAAATGTCTATCTTTATCCAGCTGCTCTTTCACTGGACTGGAACCAAGGGTTATGTTTATGAGGTCGTTTGAATCACAAGGGGAGGATAAAATTGTCTTCATTTGGGCATCACAATCATCTTTATAATTAAAGGAGCTGATATTAATATTAAGCATTTATTACCAATCACGCTTAAAGGAAAGATCAAATGTTATTAATAACTAAGTTCTCTTTCTCTCTCTCTCTCTCTCTCTGTGTCTCTCTTTCTCTCTATCCCATAACAAGAGGCATTCTCCATTTGACAAGTGGTCAAATGACATGAACTTGAAGCTTTCAAAAGAGAAAACACAAACTATCAATAATTAGATGAAAAGATGTTACAAAACAATAATAATAAGAAAAATGAAAATTAAAACAATTTTGAATTTTTATTCCATACCTGCAAGTTTGCCAAAGATGACAAAAGATGAATAAAATAAATTCTGGAATGTCTGTGTAAAGACAGGTAAACTAACACTCTGTTTGGAGGAGCTGTGAAAGTCCAACTATTCTGGAAAACAATTTGGAATTATACTGAGATGTCCTTTGACCTAGTGATACCACTACTAGGTATACAGTGCAAGAAAGTTAAAAAGATAGAAGAAATTATCTGGATTCCAGTTAAGATGTTGGAATACATGCATGCATACATACTTTTACATGTATATACATTATACATATGCACATGTTATTAATTACAGCATTTTTAATAACAAAGAATAAGAAGGAAAATGAGTTTTCATCTAATGAGGTATGACTGCATTAGTTGTGATACGTGAATATTATACAATATAACTTTACTATGAGGGGAGCTATATGGTGAGATCTATATATAAGGAAAAGGACTTTTGATGGTGCCTTTAACAGATATAGGAGAGAGGGGACCTTTTAGGGGTAAATATAATGAGTTCAATTGTAGACATGTTAAGTTTAAGATGTTTATAGGCCATGGAGATTCAGTTAGAAATATCCAATAGGCAGACATTGATTTTAGACTAAAGTTGAGGAGAGATATTGGATTTGGATGTGTTGATCTGGGAGTTATCTGAATAGAGGCAATAGTTAAACCTACAGTAGCTGATTAGGTTATCAGGAGATAGTATGAGGGAGAAAAGATAGCCCCAAACAGGATATTGGGGGATTAACAACAGTTAAAAGTTGAGATGAATATTGTTAAGGAGCTCCCCGAACTTTGCTTTTTAAGTTGCCACATTTTCCAGAAGAAGTGGACCAAGAGCACAGAGGAAGCCCTGAATGATGTTCTGAGTGTCTGGGATATGTTTCTCTTTACTTGTACTTTCCACTAAGCCAATAACTTCTCAAACTTTCTTGTTTGTGGTGTCATATCGTTGCAAAGCTGGATGGTTGCTTCGATGAAAAGAAAGTCCTTTATGAACACCAATAGGTTTTGGAACAGGAAATGAAGGTAGTGATAACCAATCTGATCATATAGTTTAAGAAGTTGTGTAGTACCTGAAAGACGCACACATTTCATTTGTAATTCTGGTTATTTAAAAATGAAATGAAAATATTATTCTTTCAATTTATGTGTATTTTTTAAAAAATGGCTAAGTGTTTAAGGCATGAGTATTTATTAAGTTGTTTGTTTTTCAGTCTAGAGTGTTATACAAAAGGATGTGGTGAACCAAGAAAATTTGGGACCCTCTGAGCTGGGGGCTTTTTGGAAGGAAGCTGGGAATTCCAAAAGGCAGAGTTGAAGATACAGTGCATACCAGGCAATGGGAACTTGGTTATACGAAGGAATGGAGATGTGACATGGGATGCTGAGTGAAGAATAGCAAGAAGGCTAGTTTGGCTGAACTGCAAAAGAGATGAAGAAGAGTAATATAAATTTCATCTTGAAAGGTAGTTTGTGAAGGGCTTTCAATGTTTTTAATCTTTGCAACTTGCTGTATCTTATGGGATTTGTTGATCAGGTCTTCAAGTCAACAACACCCAGAAGGACAACTTTACTTCATTCTGAAGGGAATTCAAAGAAACTATTGAGGGATTTCAATGTTTTTTTTTTTATGTGTGTGCTAATTACTGAATCTGAAGTCGAGCAAAATAAATACTTTATCTTAAGATTTGGAGCCACCAAAGAAAATCATCACAAAGAAGTGACCATTGTTGCCTTTATCCCTGCATTTCCAAAGGTAACCTTCCCTTTTCTCTGGATCTCTTAACTGGATCTGGGTAATTGTGCAGTGATTTCCGTAATTTTCATTTTACTTTTTGTAGAAAAGATATCAAAGCCCCATTCCTTGTTTGTAGAAGTTTTAGGTATTTTCTGTTGATGTCAAATATGGAGCTAAAAAATTAAAATGTTAGGCAACCACTAGGACCTTTTAAAAGGAATAACACATGCTCTTCCCAGAACTTTTCATTCATCTCTCATTTAACTCCTGTCTCTCTCTATGTTTCTGTTTGTCTCTCTCTCATTCTTTCTGCCTATCCTTTATCCCTATCTCTTTTCTCCCTTTCCATCTTTCTTCCATCTCTCTCTTATTTCTCTTTATGTAAATGAAATATATGTGATGTATATATCATTCAACAAGCATTTATTAGTTGCATACTATGTGTCAGTAATTGTGCTATGTATTGGAGACATCAAAGACCAAAGTCTTTGCCTTCAAGTATCTTATGGTATAATAAGGGAAATAATATTCATATATGTACACACATATACACACATACATATGCACCTATATATGTGATATATGACAGATGAATGCAAGATAGTTTGGGGAGGGGGTAAATCAGTAATTGGAGGAGGGAATGGGATTAAATTCTTGTAGAAGCTGGTGCTTACACTGAGTCTTGATGGAAACCAGGGATTTCAAAAGGTAGATGATGATGAAGAGGGAACAAATTCCAGTTGCAGGAAACATCTATTGCAAAGGCATAGAGATGAAAAATGGGTTGTGTAGCCAAAAGACTATTATAGCTGTTGTAAGTTACTGAACAAAATTTTGTTTTTCATTATTAATTTTAAAGCCATGTGAGGATAATATTGTATATTTTTCTCCTCCCACCCCTCCCACAATATAACTAAATTGTCTATTTACTGATAGGCAGAAACAAAAATGCATTGTTTTACATTGATCTGAAAAATTTCCTACTCCTTAACCTAGAGAATTTCTGATAATTACCAACATTTTTTTTGTGCAGGATATTTCTACCCTCTCTGCTAACACTGACAGCTAACTAAACTCTCTTAAGAAGCATTTTAAGACTGTTTTCAATGAATCTATAAAGTACTTATCTTATACCTTCATCCATTAATTATCAGGAAATGTTCCAGCAAGTTTATTTACTTCAGACCAAATATCATCTATCTAATATACCATTGTCATAAGTCACAAATTCAATCTCTTTAATTATTAACATCCTTTGGACCCTTTCCATTTTCCCCCTATGCTTCCATATTTGTGAGTCTCAAATTAGAACAAATAACAAATAACAATGTGACCTTGAGCAAGGTACTTCACCTTGTTGAGTGGCAGTGTAGCAAGCTGTGACAGAACCCTGCTACTGGGATCAGGAGATTTGGATCTGATTCTGACTCTGCCATTCAATTGTTGTGTCTCCCAAGTTCATTCAACTTCACTGAGCCTTAGTTTTTTTATCTCTGAAATCAGGACTATTTTTTTTTACCCTGGGCAAATTGCTTAACTAGTTTGGTTCCATTTCCTAAGGTGACTGGACTGAACTGTAAGGGGTTCCTCTAGAGCGCCCCAAAACCCTTTCAGAGGGTCTTTGAGGTCAAAACAATTTTTGTAATAATAAAAAGATGTTTAAATTTTGAATAGTAAATGTCAATAGATATAACTCACATAAACAAAAAGTCTTCGGTGTGTCCTCAATAATTTTTAAGGGTGTAAAGGGGACCCAAGACCAAAAGGTTTGAAAATTACCTATCTAGATAATCTCAAAAGTTCCAGAACTTCTTGGTATATACCTCTGATTCTACAACATTAATTAAGTGACAAATCTCAGAAGGTTGTTATGAGGAAGATGCTTTCTAAGTGTGATCTATTGTTTTTATTCTAAACAACATCCATGGCAACAAAAAAACAGTAAAAATTCTGCTTGGTGAAGAATATATTAGATTGAGATTGTGTGTGAGAGTGACTACTTGCTCACATAAGATTTAATATTCATTCTTTAGGTATTTCCTTACTACTTAATGGTATTACTAAGATGTGTTATTTGAAGTAGAGAACAATACAATTTATGCTGCAATTCACTTGAAATACTATTAATAAAAGAAATAATTTATATGAATTTAAAACTAAACAATATATCACAACTTTTCATATAATTATTATTTTGAAATACGAAGATCAGTAAAGATTGAGAGTTGATCCTTTTGAAAAGAGTTGGACCTTGTGTTTGGCTAATTATTTTATAAAAACAAAGAATGCGGATAGTACTGGGCTAAGAATTAGAAAATCCGGGTTCTAGACTCATACTGGCAAGTGATCTTGGGCAAGTATTTAAATGTCTCTATGTCTTGGCTTCCTCATCTACAATATGGAGGGATTGAAATACATGAGCTATAAAAGTCTTTCTTATTCTAAAATTCTATGAATTAAATTTTTCATTACAAATTTCACTGACCCCTTAAAGGATTTAAAGTCCTCTATAATTTAGTTGCAGTTTATCTTTACTCATCTTACCCTACAGCCCACATTGATTATTTGTTCTAGTCAAATTAGGCTTCTAGCCTTCTTCCTACTCGGTGGGCTTCCTCTCACCTCTCTCTATTTCATGGAAGGAGGTGGTCCATATGTTGTTCTCATGTTTCATGTCGACTCCCTTCAGTTCTCTCTACCTGTTAAAATCCTTCCTTTCTTTCATCAATAATACAATAATAGCTTCACCTCCTCCATGGAGTCTTCTCTGATTCCACCACCTCCTTAAATCTCTAAAGCTGATCAGATTTCTTCTCTGTAGCTATAATGCCACAAGTAGAACTAGTCATTTTCATATTGTCTTATCCCCTTACAATATTGCAAGTTCCTTGAAACAAGGTCTGTAATTTCTTGTCTTTGTAATTCTACTATCTGAGATAGTATTTTGATCATGGAATATACTAAATAGTTTTAGAATTAAATTGAACATCACTAGTCAATGGTATACAACTTATGCAGTTTAAACTGCTTTTCGTCTAGATGATGGGAGGAGGGAATTCTCTAAGTCCTGTGTCTCAGATAAGTGCATTCTTTAAAATTTTCTTCAGCATACCACTGTTTTAAATTCCATACATTGAATTATCATTTAATGTTCTGATGGTTTTTATCTTGTCTGAATTGATGGGTCAATCAGCAAGCATTTATTAAGCTCTAGTAACTGTGCTGAGGACACAAAAGCCAAAATGGATCAGTCACCATCCTTAAGAAGGTTTCATTCTGTTGGGAGAGATGACATATGGATATATAAAATGTGCACACACAAAATAAATAAAAGGTATATTTTTAGGAGGGGAGAAATGAGTAACTGGGGGATAAGGAAAGACGTCATAGAGAAAGTGCCACTTGAGATGAGCTTTAAGGGAAGCTAGAGATTCTAAGAGGTAGAAAGGAGGAGATAATGAGTTCCTGGAATGGGTTTTGACCATGGTAAAGTCCTTCACTTTAAATATTCTAAATATTAACTTTAAAAAAATTCTCAAGAGGGCAGAACAAATCTTTAAAAAAAATCTGTCAGTCTCACCTGTTCTCTGGCTCATACCTTGTTTCTCTTCACATATATGACCTATCTTTTTCCATAGAAGTTGAAAAAAAAAAGATGCAAAATTACTTGGTGTTTTCAGTAGCCCTTTAAAAGTGAATTTTGTTAGCAGTGGGTATGATTCCTCAGACAAGGCCAAGTAGGACAATGTAACCTACTTGAACTTTAAAAATATTTTTTTTATTATTTCAACTTATATTAGCTGTGATCTCAAAGAACACAGTTTGATGGGACTGGGTTGGCACAGAAATTCTGCAGTATATGAAGTTGTCCTTCATACTATTTTCTGAGAGAGAAATGGATTTGCTCTAACTGAGAACTCAAACAATTCCAAGAAATTAAGAAGAAGTAATAATTCACATTTTTATTATGCTTTAAAGTTAACAGTTTCCTTCCCATTAATCCAGTGAGTAGGTAATTTAGATATTACCATTATTCCCATTTTAAAGAAGAAGAAATTGAGGTTCATAGATATGAAATATTTTCCCATAATCACGCATGATTCCATCATTAATGTATATATGGGAAAGGAGATTGCTCCACTGAAGAGAATAAGGAAGGAGAAATTAAGCCCTTTAATTACAAGTGCATGCTCTTCTAATTACAATAATTTAAAACAAAGAGAAAAATGTAATGATAGGAAAAGATGGGATTGGGGTGGGGGGAGTTGAATAACTTAGCGATTTTACATCTTAAAGTCGGAACCCAGCTCAAATAAGTCAATGTTTTTTACATTGGGAAATGAGGAAAAGATTGACCCCTTGATGACGGAATTGACATTTCAACAGAGCAATTGAAGGTCCTACAGAATGTCAGCCAGGGAGGTTTAAAAAACAATTATGGGGGGCAAGGAATGAAGGGGTGACAAGGGGGACTGGCTTTATTATTCCTTAATCATGTCCTATGTCCATAGGGAGGAACACACTTCTACGTGAGTGTGGTTCAGGAGGAGGTAGCAACATTTGCTAATAATTAGCAGTGGTGATTTTCTTTCCCTGTCATTTGTATAGTCTGAGCAATGCAAATACCTCAGATAATTTAGTAGGCTACCAGGGTAGTTAGAGCTCTTATGTATAAGTGAAAGGAAGGAGAGA